GCGGGGACCAGGGATTCACCCACCGCAGAGCTGCCGCGGTCCGGCCGCACCTACTCCAGGGTCAGTACAGCGCAAGTTCGTCTCCCACGTGTAGCCACCGTGCCCTCACCCCTCACTTCCCACGACCTCAGCGTTGGGAGGGGCGTGCTTGACCCCAGGACTAAATGGAGTTGGAGGGTGGGCGGGGCGGAGGTCGGCCAAGGTTCAGGTGAGTGGTTCTTCCCGCCGGGAGCCAAGGGGGTGGTGGTGGAGGGGGTCGCCTATCCCTCTGGCGCTCTGGACCATTCCTTCTCTCAGCATCTTTAATTTTGTCCCTTCTCCCTCAGAGTCTGTAAAATCAGGGTTTCAATGGAAACACTTTCTGGAACTTTCACCCCTGCCCCCCAATAAAACAAAAGGAAAAACAAGCCTGTCGCTTTTCCCGGGAAGCGAGGCGACTGACCATCCCCTTCAGTCCCCAATGGGTCCAACACTCCGCGCCCCTCCCCCCCCGTGCCTCTCCCCCCTCCCCCAGCCTAAATAAGCTTTTGGGTGGGTGGGGACTTGCATGGAATCTACTTACTTCCCGCACACAGCACGCCGCCCCCTTTCTCTGGGGGTCCTGCTCCCGGGAGGGCGGGGAATCTAGGGGATTTGCTTTTCTTTAACAATCTCCTGCCCACCGCCACTCTTCCCCCCGGGGGCTCTGCACCTTGTGTGCACTGGGAGCAGAGGAACGCACAAAAACGCAGTTTGCACGTGTGGTCGGCCTGGGCTGCGGGTGTGCGCTCTGGCGAGTGTGTGTATGTGTGTGTGCGCGCGCGCCAGTGTCTCTGTGCGTTCTTGTTCTCTTGCAGGGTACAATGTTAAAAAGCCACCGCTAGTCGCCCCCAGTGCTCCGACTCTCTGGGTCTTTTTGTCTCTCGTGCAGATTAAACGTCACGTCCGCACTTGAACTTGAATTTTATCCCATTGTACAGAGGCAGCCCCAGCCATAGAGAGACCGAGAGCTCCCGGAGAACCCGGACTCCGCCATCTTCACGTTGCAATCTATAGCTCCCAGTCCGCGCCCGCACCGACCCAGGCGCACTGGGCGAGCCGCCCCTCCGCCCCGCTTCCCCCGGGCCCGCGGCGCCAGGGGAGCGCTCGCGGGGACCCGGCAGCCCCTCCGGTCGGCGCCAGGCTGCCAGGTGAACCGGGAAGAACGGCTCCCGCAGTCCCCCACAGCCGCCGGAGGGTCCAGTCTCGGAGAAAAAGCAGGCAGCCCGCAGAAAACCCAGAAACCTCCGAATCGCGGCAGTTTTACAGTGTTTTGGGGTTTTTGAGGGGGCGGGGTGAGGGGGTACGAGACAAGTCCCCAAGTTTTTTTTTTTTTTGCTTTTCCCCACCTTTCCTTTTTCTT